TGAGCCGGTCTTGGGTATTGTTATCACAGCACAAAATGGACTAAGATACTCATCACCTATGACTTACTGTTTTTGACAGCTTCCCCTATATGTATTAGTGCCTGGCATCCAATATACACTTAAATTTTTCTTGATGTTTTTTGAGACAAATTCTATCAAGTACTTCAGGTTGGCCTCCAACTCTTGATTGTCCTGAGTACTGGGAATACAGACATAAGCTACAACACCCGGCAAAAATGTTTAAGGTCGACCCCTCCCGTGAGTTGGCAGAAGCCATGCCAGGACTGGGAAGAGTACAAGAAGCCAATTTGCCCTTCCCATCTGCAGCACAAGCCATGCAGGGGCCCCTAAGAAGCTAGTTTACACTCTCACATAACCCCCCATATAAGCAACCAGCTGATTTGGAGCACAGGCTGAGTTGATAGCAACTGAGGTACAAAAACAACTAAATGCTTGTATTGTTTGATTGAGTTCGCAGACCTAAGGCCAGTAATCTGAGCATCTATTAGGAGAATAACAGTATGCAATGTGGCAAATATGGGGGATTTTCTTTTATTTTGTTTAGTTTTGTTCCGGTTTATTGTTTTGTTTTATTTAATGTTCTGTTTTGATTGATTTTATTGTTTTGTTTTATTCAATTTTACTATGTTGGATGGTATGGACAACTATTGTAAAGATAACAAGAGATATTATGGTAGCAATTATAGATTTCCTATTACCCTGTTTTGAAGTTCTGTATCACTTTCACTGCTTTGTTTTGATTGGTTTTATTCTGCCTTGATAGAAGGCAGAATAAAATAAAAATAAAAAATTTTTAAAGTTCATTAAGTTAATATTAAGTGACAGGGTTACAGACAGCTGAGTTAGTTAAAAATATTATAGGCAGTCAGACAGGGCTGGGCCCTCAAAGGAGCCAGAGCAAAAGGTCAGATACCTAGCAGCCTTGGAAGAGAAAATCACCTCCTGCTGTGGACCAGATCTCAAGACAAAAGGCAAAGCAAATACAACCACATCCTAAGGATCCACAGACCAAACAGATCTCTATTACCCGAGGAAGTCAGGAGTCAGCATCCCAGCCCCTACAGGAGGGGTCACTGCTGTTAAGCCCACTTACTACCTGACGCGCTCCCCCATTTGTTCCTCATTTAATCAATTTTACCTGAGCAATTAATCTTATTGGTTGACCACACTTCTGCCCCACCTTATACCCATCTTTCGAGTTTCCATTTTCCCCCATCTTGGACCCATCTAACCTCATGATTTTACTCTATAAAAGTCCCTAGAAAAGACAGTCTTTGGCAGCCCACTTGGCACCCCTTCTGTGTCTCAGACAGAAGCTTTCTTTCTCTCAATAAATATATTCCACCTGGCCCTGAATCAAGTCCACCTTCCTGACGCTGTTGGTTTCAAGCAGGAGCCTAAAGAGATGTCTTTATATGGTCTGTTGGCCATTTCAGAACTTGGGCAGTGAAATGGTCAATTCATTAGAAAGCAAGAGCTTGAAGCAAAATATATATATATGCCACTCGTAAACTGTGTTATTCCTAAAATTCATTCTTTAATTTTAGAGAACATGAACTCTTACTGGACAGATAGTAGGTTGGGAGTTTCCTTCCCCTATATTAAGAAGGCTCTGGAAAAGTAGTTTGAAGCTAAGCTAACAATCTTAAAATATTATATTTGAGAGTTTGGACTTCATCCTACAGGCATTGAACACAGTCACCAAAGAACAGAACTACTCTAGAAAGATAACCGTGATTGCAGTTGATGACTTTTGAGAGGGAAACCAGTTAAAAGGTTTCAGTAATGGTCCAAACCAAAAATCTTTTAAGGCCTGAGGGAGGGCAAAAGTCAAGGAAGGAAACCATTTTGAGACGTCATCTACACAGACTGGTAATGACAGTCATCCAATAGCCTGAACTCTCTTCACACCTGCCAAGCAAAATTGGTGTTAGAATTTCACACATTAGAAAATCAAAACAAGATTCAGAGGGCTTATACAATTTCCGCCAAAGTCATGTGGCTAAACAGCTCTCCCAGAATTCTAGCACAGTATATTGCAGGACTGGCCAATTCCAAAGTCCCAGGAGTGAAAGGCAGGTAGTAATCCAAGTTTTAGCTAAGTAATTTCTTAGATAATGCCCTTTGCTGAAATATATAAAAGGTGTAACTGCAAATGGGTTAATGTGACTGTGGACAGCCTGTGAGTAAAGTCTGTAATTCAGTTAAGTGTTTCTACATGAAAGAGAAACTGAATCTGGATAATCTGCTTAACAGAGCAATACAGACTCCATAAAAATTCAGGGAATTCCAGGAGGCTAAGGAAAAATAACAACTCATTCATTCACTCTTCCTACAGTTACTGAGCACTAAGAACTTAACACCCGGGATACAGGAGTAAATATCTGTACAGCTTGCAACTTTGTGTAGCTTGTATTTGATTAGGGGAGTCAGAGGATAAACAAATGAATTAAACTAAAATACATCAGACAGTAGAAAATAAAACAAAGAGGCTAAGAAGTGCCTTAAGAAAGGGTATAACACTTAACAGAGTGCTCAGAGAAATCTACTCTCCTGCCCCACCCATCCCATAAAGAATGAGAACACAGAATGTCTCCATGATGGTGTTTCTTTTCCCAAGGGTAAGAGTCCTACAAGTAAGCATCTGATTGGCAAAGCCAAGGGCACATATCCACCTCTTTAGCTCCTCTGAAGCAGGGTAGAGGGAGAAACATCGTTTAACTTTAGAGTTTTACTAGGTACCACCTTGAAAAAACATGAAAAAGAGATTTTCCTCAGAAAAAAATTTAAATTCTAGCCAACCAAAATAGCCACAGGAGTAGATATAATCACATTAAGGGTAAATGAACATTGAGACAGGAGGATTGTTGAGTTCAAGACCAGCCTGGGTTACAAAGTGAGCTCAAGGCCAGCCTGAACAGCATAGAGGGACGCTGTCTCAAAAAGACACCGACCCATAGACAAAAATGAAAAAAAAAAAAAAAAAAAAAACCCCAGAGACAGAGAGAAACAAGTGCTTTGGGGAATCAGAACACATTTTAAGAAGCAAAAAGAGATAAAGGAGAGCAAAAACAAAAGAATCAAGACAGAGCAAGGTTTGAGAATCCAAGAATAGAGTTTATAAAGCCATCGCTGACCTTCAATACAGCAGTTTGAGAAGTTAGGAAGCAGAAGCCAGACTGTAAATGGAGAAGGAATTAAGTGTGAAATAGAAACACAAACTTCAGAGCCAAAGTGTTCCACATCACAATTTGTGTTATTGTAACAGGACCAGCAAAACATAATAATCTGACACAAAAGGGATGCAGGTCTTTTTTGGAGCACTTAATTTTCATTTAAAATTCACAACAGGCTTGGGAGAGAGGTCTTACTGCATCTGGAAATGGAGGAATATTATATTCAATACTGAATACTGGAGAAAATTATATACTCTTTTTCCAGGAGTGCCTAGTCTTAAAATAGATATCAAAAGACCCAAAAATTGTTCTAAGGGAATTAACAGAAATGAACAGAAACATGCATACAGATTTATCTACAAAGTTCTACATCATCAAAGGAAAGAAGTGAAAACAAGGTAATTCCAAGGACTAGAATGTCCATGCTACAAAGTGACACACTATCATTGCCAATGATACCCAGAATGAACTGCTGAAGAAATGAAAAGGGAAAGCTTATAATTTATGAAGCATATAAGGTACACAAATACAATGACTCCACTGTGTGTGTCTGGGTGTTATTCCTTATGGGGTCTGGTCCCCCACACACGTTATTTCCCAAAATTTCTATAATAAACAAATATTGCCTTTGTAACGACATTTTTAAAAAATAATTTAAGTGGAAATGTTTAAGTATTGCTTTTGGCCAAATAATAGTATCTGAAAAACGACAGGCCAGAATTCTCCTGAATTCGTTATCTCCTCTATCTCCTTGGGTTTCCTATTTCATATAGCAAAGTCAGCAAGGGGAGAACAATGTTCCTCAAAAATGAAGAAGTATTTGCTTCCTTTCAATGTTCAGTTCAGAAAATAAACCCTCTACACTCAGTATGCCAGAAGCCTTAAACTATAAGGCGTCCTTGCACTTGGGAAGAAGGCCCAAGGCCAGCTATAAAATGCTGAGTCAGCAATCGTAAAGATTTTTATGAACCCTCAAAGTATATGTATGGATAAGACAAGCTAATAAAAAAAACCACCGACTACCCAGTACAGAGCCTTCCAAAGTCTAGATTACAGCCTTTCCAAGCCTCGACTTGAATCATTAGAGAAAAGCACACACACACACACACACACACAAAAGGAAGACGTTAGGGGAGGACCGTGGTCTTCACAGAAGTCAAAATACTTAAATGAAGTACAAGACGCAGGTTGCTAGATGTGGCAACCTTTGCTACGGTGTGGAGCGTGCAGATGGCAGGCACTGAAAGCCCGAGAAAAACAACTTCGGTGCCTTTGGATCGAGCCCGCCTCGGCGCCTGGACCACTGATAAACTGCAGCCCGCGACCTCCACCCGACGTCGGTGGGTTCCGGAGGCGGCGAATAACCTGCGAGAGTAGGACGGCGCGACCGGCTCTTTTCAGAACAAAATATATTGTTAAGGACACTCACAGGCCCTCGCTACCCCAAATCCTTCCAGGAGGTGCGCGCGGCAAAGAGACACCCCGCACCCGCAGCGCCCCAGTCGTGAGCCTCCTGGACACTACGATTCCGGAGTCCCACCTCCGCGCATGCGCCGTGAGACCCGCGTGTCCTGCCGAGCGCCGCGCCAAAACCAAACTACGGCGGCTCTGCTCGGCATAAATTCCAAACATGCCACTGTGCGGCCAACCCGGTCCAGGCACAGTAAATTGGTTGGAGCAGTTTAGGAAGGTGACCACGAAGGTAACTGGAGAAAGGGGTAGCCTATGGATTTGGGAATGAGAGTGGTAAATTTGATTTTCAGAAGCCGGAAGCGAATTTAACCTCTGCTTCTCAACCAGTGACGGTGACTTAGCAAATTAAGAAGCCCCGCCCCCGGAAGCACCGCCCCTGGGAGTGGGCCTTGGGGGCGTGGTCAATGCTGCCCCGCGGGGAGCCGGGGCGGGGCCTGCCTCGCGAGTGTGCGAGCCGCACCCGGGCTGAGTTGCGCAGTTTGGGTGTGTACCTGGCGTGCAAAGGTGATCCAGGTGAGTACTAGCCCCTGCCGCTGGCCCTTGGTGGGGGGCACTTGAACTCCTGCATTGAACTGCCAGTATCTGGCTCGGCCGCCCTGAGCTAATAATAGGGTCTCTCTCTTTCTAAACCCCCCCAACAAGCTATAGACTGGAGTTGTGCATTGGCATCTTTGCTCTGCATCCTCATTTCCCTTTGCATCCTTCCTAAGGAAATGGGTTTGGAGCGTGCAAGGGAGACCCGCTGCGCTGTCTAACGCAGCGAGATTCTCAAGGTCAAGCCTTCCACAGTTTCCTTGGTTTCCCCTCCTCCTCTGTTCTGCCTGTGCGGCCCGAGGACTGCTCCTTTCTACCTATTGGAGCCCACCTGACTGCCGACTGCAGCTCAAGGACAGGAGCGGGGCGAGAGGGGCGCTGCAGACTGTGCAGGCCGTGGCTAACAATGGCTTAGAAGTGGCCTGGAGCCCTGAGCCTGCTGCTGCGGAAGTGTTGCTAGGATCCTTGCAGGGAGCCTCAGAGGGAATTCTGTTTGTTTTCTTCCCGCCTCACCGAACCATTTGTATTAGAACCTGTGAGCCAGTGGTTTCCTGCACCTGCGTTGGGGCAGGAGCTGCCTCAGGTGCAGTGGGTAGGGACAGGGAAGAGAATCTCCATTTGTCTCTTGCGAGGACTTCAACAAATTTCCCTTCTTTATTTGGTGTTGCTGTAGGGAGAGGCAGGCCACCGAAGTGGGGCAGCTGCAGGGTGGTGGGAGAGGCAGGAGGCCCGGTATTGAGTCATTCTTTTAAGTTGTGGCTACTGCTAATACTTTCCTTCGGAGTCACGAAATTTACAAGTAGCCCGGGAAACAAGTGAGAGCGTGGGAAAGGAAGGAAAGGAAAAGCAACGACAGAAGGTTGGCTAGGTCGGTGAGGAGTGGGGCTTTAATCCCCTAACTAGGAAAAGGGAGCGTCCTAGAAGGTCAGCCTGCTTCCTGCTGCAGTCCTGTAGGGTGGGCCTCATACTGCGGCAGCGCTGCAGGCTTTCGGGTGGGATCAGGTGCAGGTACCTGCAGCCTACGCCTTCTGGTAGCAGCCAAGGTTATTGGTCAGTTCCGGTCATGGTTTATTCCAGTCACTTCAGTAATGAGAGTGTATTATCAGAGTGTGTGTGGGGGGTGTGGAGAATATTTATTCTCATAGGAGTTAAATTTAACTGAGAAGTAAAATAAAACTAGCTTCTAAAATCCAAACAAATACTTTCACTCCTGGGAAGACAGCCTGTTAAGCTTCCCTCCTGACACAATGTTACAAAAATAGAAAACTTTGTCAAGTGATTCTTTTTTTTTTTTAAACCAATGTTACTATATATAAAAGGATAATGATATAGTGGCCAATCATAGATACCAAGCAACAGAGGCTTCCTTTAAATTAGGAACGGAACTAGAGAAGGATTGCCTTCTTATGTAGATTTCCTCTTGATGGCCTAGAATTCTGGGGAACCACAATTGTGAAAGGGGACCCATTCTCCTGGTGGTTAGCAGAGAGAAGGAAAAATACATGAAAGCAAGGTTCTAGCTGTTATCCAGAGGATGCTGAAAAGCCTGTGAGGCAACCTGGACCAAGATGGATGTCAGATCAATCTGTCAAAAGTAATTTAGTGCCCATTGCATGTCTAGCTGTAGGCGACATATTGCTCCTGTATTCATACCTAAGTATTCTGATTCTGTAGCCAGAACTCAGCAGTTATCTTCAGGGAGATTATTGCTCTGTAAAATAAAGTCTCTTATGCAGTGTCTACTTATTTACCTTCTAGAATGAACCTATTAATTAACTGGAACATGGATTGTAGGATTCTGGTGCCTTGGTCCACTTTTTAAAAAATAAGTGATATTTTATGTCTCCAGCTTAAAAAATGCAAACAGTTGTGCCAAAGCTTCATTCTTGGTACAGGGTTTAAGAGCCAAACACCTGTTAAGACAAGAGCCAGCAGCCTAGCCAGTTCTTTCACTTGCGAGCTGGTACCCTAGCCAGGATTCAGCATCTGCTAAGAGTTAACTACAATGTGCCTACATCTCTTGCAGTAGAAGATCCAAGGGGTTAGTTACCCTTTGAGATTTTGCCCCCTTTTCTGGAAGTTGTGGCTCAGTTGCCCTAGGACTGTAGGCTCCGAGGAATTGTCATTGAAGAGAAGAGTATGTGGTAATCATGTTGTAAACATGGGTTCCAATTTTTGTGTTGCTTTGCTCCTTGGCAACCTGTATCATAAAGATTGGAGGAGGTGTTTTTCTTCCTGCCATCCCTGCTTCTTCAGTTATGCTGCAGTGCTAACAATAAAACGAGAATGTTCCCTTGTGGACCTCTTCCAGGTTTTTTTTTTCCTTCCAATTAAAAACAGGCTTTAATCAGTCATAGCTTAATTATTAGCTCTCTCATCTCGTTAATGTATTTTATGCTTAGGGGTGGATCTGGGGAGATAGGTTATTTCAACAGAAGTCGTATATTTTGCTCTTTGACCTTGTACAGAGACAGTGAAGCCAGCAGTGAAAGGATAGAGACTGGAGCCAGACTGCAGGGGCGGGCACATGGGCATTTAGGCTTTGCTGTGCTGTGTGATCTTGAGCAAATGATATAACCTCTCTGATGCTCAATTTCCTCCCCTGCAAAATGGAAGCAATAGTCTGTCATAGAGATATAGTGAGGTTTTAAATGAGGTGTGTTGATGAACTGCTTCAAATAGGGTTTCACTAAATATGCACACTGATTACAAAGTGCCACCAATAATTGAATTTTTTACTGCTCTTCCTCTAATAGAGATTAGAGACCTTCAGACCTGCTGGCTCCCTTTCTCTTCCTTACGAAAGTGAAGCCCTCTCCTGTGTGTACCCTCTGCAGTTGGTGTTTTCTTTACCCGTGTCTTTATCAGACATCACTGTTAGTGTCTCTTGGGCTTTTATCCCCATCGTCTTGTCCTGTTTAGGATCATCTTGTTCTCACCTCTGCACACTCACACTCAACAGAGCCTTCTGGGGGGCCAGGAACTTCCCTCTCAGTATTGATGACCTTGAATGGTGCATGGCATTTAGTACAGAATAAAAAAGGGAAAGAATCATTTTGAAAAAAGAAGGTGAGGGGTGGGGGGTTTACCTCAGCGGCATAAGCGCCTGCCTTGAAAGCAGGCAGTCGTGAGTTCAATCCCCAGTACCGATAAAAAGGAAAAAGACAAAAAAAAGAAAAAGAAAAAAGAAGGTGGTAGGCATGGACTTTGAGGCAAGCATTCCATGAGGTAAAATGCTTTGTCTGACATTGAATTTATCAAGTCAGCTCCACTTGGTGAAATTTGTGATTTTCTTTTGCCTTTTTTTAAGCTCATGGTTTCTCTCCATTCCCTGCCTTGGCCCTTTTGTTGCAGAAATCCAATATCAAATGGAATGGAAGACCCTCTGCACTCAGGAGTTGAAGGGCAACTGTTTATTATGCTAGCTGGTTGCTTTTTACTTCCTGCTTGCAAATCCTATGTAAACTAAACCCAAAGGGCTGGTGACTTGGATTTGGTCCTAGCGTAATAAACCAGTTGGCTTCTAACTCCTCAGTGAAAAGGGTCTTCTTCCATTTGGTTTGATGTCAGATTTCCACAGCACTCTGAGGCTCTGAGGCTGCTACCCTCCGACCTTAGTCACATTTTATGGGTGACACCCCCCGCCCCTGAGCTTTGGTACTAAGGAGTGTTACACTTGGAGACTGTTACAGAACTTGTCCTCACACCTGCATGCTAACCTGAACTTTGCTCTGTCTTGCTGCAAATCTAGCATTCTGGCCAGCTGTGGCGGTGCACGCCTGTAATCATGGCACTGTAATAGGGGGATCACTGCACATGCAAGGCCTGCCTGAACTACATAGGAAGACCCTGTCTCAAAACAAAACTTTCTGAAGTTCCTGTACAGTGGAATTACCAGTTTTTCCCAGGGGAGATTCAGTTCTATTCAATGATGTGTTAAGAGCCCTGTTGCACAAACAGCCTCCAAAGAAGTGGGGAATTTGTTTATTTGGCTTCAATAAAGTGTATACTGGTGCAGGCTTGTCCCACACAACCCAGAAAAATTCCCTGCCCTTGGAGATCCTGTTCTTTTCTTCTACCACGCCCAGTCAGCACAGTGGTGTATTGAGCAGTTTTCAATATGGACAGTCTTCCAGTGCCCTGCGATTGAACACATGGCCAAACAGTGGCTACTCAACATAAAGCTGAATATGTTTGGATGGTAGCACATTTACCTCTACGAGCGTGGGTGGCCATCTTCCTGACTGATAGTTTCCACTTTCAAATATTCTGCCAGCAACATCAATGAGAACCTGAAAAATATGAGCTAAGGAAAAACCTTTTAGTTGATTGATTGATTGATTGATTGACCATAATACTGGAGATTGAATATAGAGCTTCACACTGAGCTGCATCTCCACCCCTTTTTTTATTTATTAAATTTTGAGTCAGAGTCTTGCTTTAACACAAAGCTGTCTAGCCTGGGCTTGAACTTGTGATTGTGCTATTCAACCTCCCAGAGTGCTAGAACTACGGGCATGTGCTACCTTGCATAGTGGGAAATACCACTTTAGACCCCCTTGCTGTTATTGGCCCTCACCCAAATTCATAAGGAAGCTATTCCTTATTTACCTAGATAATCATATTCCTACTCAACTGACTGTGTTTCTTTGTAATAATATGTTATTGAATATACGGTGCCACTGGGGAGAATAGTTACTTTTTGCTAACTAAGTTTTTATCCCCTCTCTTAGATATCTAGAAAGTCTAGTGGTCATTTGAAGGTTTGATACTCAAAACAAATTTTATCTGTTTAATTTGGAAGTGGAGCAGCTCTGGAATTTTGGAAATGTAAGATAAATCCAGGGAAATCCTGTAACTCTCCTTTGCCCCTGTCTTCATGGAGACAGAATTACTTTCATGTTACTGTCTCCAGAGTCTTCTGTTTCTCCATTAAGCTTTGTGTTGGATCAGGAGGGTCAGCTACCCTGTCTGGAGAA